TTGAAAAAATTTAAAAAAATAAAAAAATATTTTTCTTCAAAAATAAAAATAAACAAAATGTTTTTTGAAATTTTATATTTTTTCAAAAAAATATAAAATAAAAAATAATTTTAAGACCAAAACAAAAAAAAAAATATTTAAATAGAGTTTTAAAAAGAGTTTGCTTATAGTTTTGAAAAGAATTTTTAAAGGTGGCACTAATGCTACACATGGAAAGTATGGAACCACGCACGTTTATTATGCAGTAGCTTGAAATAACACTCTTATCTTCATATGACATCAGTTATAATTTGACTATTCATTCTTTACACAATTTTCTTAAACTATCCCTTTGTGTGACTTTTTGTTTGCCTAACTATCCAGAATTTTATCACTCATTCACTTTTCCTTTCATCCCAATTTGACGTGACAATCATTTTCCGACTCAAGAAAATTGGTCTCTCTCCCACCTCTCGGGTGTGTTTGTTTAGACAGATTGGATAAGGGGGATTGGAATTCACCGGACTGTTAGTCTTAGGATATATTGTTTCCGGACTATTTAATTGAACTGGATTTGTATCCCATGTTTGTTTAGTCATGGGAATAAATGTCAGAAAATGACTATTTGATTGGATATGATATGAATCCTATGATTGTTTGGGATATTCTGGAGAATGATAAATGTTCAAATATTACCATTTTCAATTACTTGCAATATTAAACATATCTTTAATATTTTAATTATTTTTAACTAGATTAAATAAAAATTTATTTTATTTTATTTTTTACACAATTAATTAAATTTATTTTTTAAAAATCAAATAAATAAGATATCAACAAAAATATATGTCATTTTTTAATTAAAATTTTAAATAAATTCATTTTAAAAAATAATAATAATTAAATAAAACATCTATTAAAATTTAAATAATAAAATTAAATAAAATATAAACAAAATTTTAAAATAAAACATCAATAAAATATCTATAAAAAATTATTTTAAAAATTAAATAAATAAAACATCAATGAAAATTAAATTAAATTATTTTATTTTTAAATTGAGACATTTAAATTTTATTGAATTTTACTAAATATAATTCATAATTAAATAGTAGATGGTCAAAATGGTCATTTTACTACCTAATCTCATATCCCTTTATCCCTCCATTTGTGTCCCATCCCCCTATGGGACATAATAGTCCAATGGATTTGGGACTAATAGTCCAGTGCAAAATTTTTGAACCAAACAACGGACTATTAGTCTGAATAGATTAATAGTCCAATCTCACCCCTCAATCGCTCAAAACAAACACCACCTTCATGTATATATACTCTACTATCTATTTGTATTTAAATATTTAGAATTGATTTAGTTTTTTATTATGATTTATTTTATGGGAGTTTTAGAATTTTCTATGAAGATATACGAATGAACTATATAATTTTTAGGCTTACATGATTTAAGATTTTTTTTTGGGTTCATGAGATGATTAACAATAAAATGAAATTAAAAAAAAAAAAAACATTAATTTGAGGTTACCTTTTAACTCTAAGGTAGTGTTTGGTTCAATGAAAGAAGATGGATTGAAATGGAATTATCATTCTTTAGCATCCTTATGAAGTGACTATTCCCTTTCAATAGTGAATGATGATTCCATTTATATAATGTATTTTCTATTTTTTTTAGTTAACCAAACGTAGGAATGAATATTGATGATCATTATCTTTTTCATTGCATTATAATAAACCAAACATATCGTAAATAGTTGATTTTTAATTATTTATTTATAGAATTATTTTAATCAATTTTATAACATGAATATGTGACAATTGGTTGTGTATTTCTTTATAATGTAGATCTCGTAAGGAAGAATCATGAATATTGAACAATCAATTAAGTGTGTCAATGAAAGGTTAAGTGATCAAATTGAACAAGATGGAATAAACATACAAAGTCAGGGAAGGGAAGAAAATGGACAAAATGAGATACTTGGAAATATTGGTTGGAAATTTCATTCTCGTGAAGAGCTCCTGGATACCGTCCACGTATTTTTCTTAATGCAAGGGTATGCAATATCTATTAAAAACTCCAAAAAAGATAGATATGTGACCATTGATTGTGATAGAGGTGGTTGTTATCGAAATAAGTGGCATGTTCCTATGGAGCATCGACAAAGGCAAATGGCTACTCGCCTTATTAATTGTTTCTTTGAAATTCAAAGTAAGAGACAAAGTGATGGGTTTTGGGTGCTTGAAGTAAAAAATAGCTCACATAATCATGAGCTTTCTAGTGACAAGTCCGGACATCCTTCTTGTCGTCGTTTATCCAAAGAAGAAGTTTTGAGCATTGAAGAAATGATGAGATCGGGGATACCACCACACCAAATTCTTCCTTCACTTAAACAAAGGAATCTGAAGCTTCAAGCGGTATCAAGGACTATATACAATATGAAGGCTAAACTTCACAAGGATAACTTGGCAGGGCGAACTATGATACAAGCATTGTTTGAAGAACTTCGTCAAGGTGATTTTACTTTTAATGTTGCACATAATCAAGATGGTCATTTGACACATCTATTTTTTGCACACCATTTTTCAATCATGTTGACAAGGAGTTACTCGAATGTTTTTGTGATGGATTGCACTTATAAGACTAACAAATACAAGATGCCACTTCTTGACATAATTGGTGTTTCAAGTTTCAACACTTCATTTTACTCTTGTTTTGCTTTTTTGGATAAAGAGGGAGAAAAATATTATGTTTGGGCTTTACAAAATGTTTAGTAAGCTATTGGGTCCCATTGGTCATCTTTCTGTCAGCGTATCTGATAAGGAATTGGCATTAATGAATGCTATACAAGTTGTCTTTCCAACAACTAAGAATCTTTTATGTGTGTGGCACATTGAGAAAAATATTTTGGCGAATTGCAAGTCTTACTTTGAAACTCAAGAAGATTGGAGCACATTTTTGTGTACTTGGAGACAAGTTATAGACTCTCAAGATGAAGCAACATATGAAGAAGTTTGGAAGTTTTTTGAGCTATTGTATAAAGAGAAGAAAGAAGTTTTATGTTATATTCAAAAGACGTAGCTTCCATTTAAAGAACGGTTTGTGAATGGATGGACTGAAAAGTTTGCTCATTTTGGAAATCGGGTTTCTTCAAGGGTTGAAGGTGCACATGGAAAACTCAAGAAATATTTACAAGTTTCAACTAGTGATCTTCATCGAGTGAAGAACAAGATATGCCTTGCAATTGAAAATGAATATAAAGAGATAAAGGCACAACTCTCAAGTGAAAGGATCCAAATACCTCACAAATGCAATGCTCATTTCTTCAAGGACCTTATCAATACTGTGTCAGCATTTGCCATGGAAGAGCTACTTAAACAGTATTGAAAATCCTAAGTGATTCGTGATTAGATCAAGATTAAAATATTCCAAATCCCAGAAATCCAAAACACACAATCTAAATCAACAAGCACTTACGAAAGTGATTTAGACTGTTTGATTTTTCAGAATAATTAATAAATCGACACAAACAATTTTTACGTGGAAAAAATCACAATTGGACACCTCCAACTGTGATTAAAAAACCACGGGCGAAACGCCACTAATCAATCCACTACTGAAGTAAAAAAGATTACAAAGATATCATACAAATTACCCAACTCAGTCAATTTGTCTTCGAATCTTCTGTAACTCTTTCTCCACGACTTCGTCTCGGAACTGATCAATCCTGAAGTTGACTCCACAACCTCACTTGTCGAATGAACGACCACGTATAAGATCAAACGCCTTTTGAAACTATACGCTTAAATCTTCGGAATCCACCGAAGAGAACTCTCTCTTGAATTTAAAGAAACCAACTCCTTGATGTATGTATTTTAGATCATGAGTGAAGAACTCTTCTCAAGACATCAAGGAAAACTCACCAAAACTCCAGAAGAACCCCCCAAACAAAACCCTAGGACTCTTGAATAAGATCTAGAAAAAGTAGTCCTAAAAACAACCTAAAAAGATATAAATAGGAATCCTGAATCCGCGATCTCCGCTCGAGCGCCCAACATCCCGCTCGAGCGGCTTCAACAAAATACGCGTGTAAAAACACAGTGATCCGCTCGAGCGCTTCATGACCCGCTCAAGCGCAAAATTAAGCACTCCAGTACTTTTACAGACCTGTCAATATACTGAGAGACCACAAACTCCGCTCGAGCGTCAATGTCCCCGCTCGAGCGGGAAGAACAAAAACACAGAAAATAAATAATTTTTACAACTCAAGGTTTTGTATCCGGATTTGACAATCAAGGGACCTAAACAGTATGAAATGGTAACAAATGGTACAATGCATCCAACATGCACAGGACACTTCATGGCAAGTATGGGTCTTTCTTGTGCACATAAGATGATGAATTGGAAAGGTAAGGCATTACCTCTTGATGCAGTACATTCATGATGGAGGATTAATATAAGATCCTTGACTTTGTCTACTGGTGAAAAAAATGATGGGGCTGAATTCCAAAGGCTAATTCATGAGTTAGAAGATAAATATCAAGAGTGGCCTATAATTCAGAAGGAAGATGCTCAAGAGAGAATTTCTCAACTTGTAAATCCATCACTTCCATTGCTTCTTGAGCCAAATATTCAACCTCATAGAGGACGTCCATCAGGGACCAAAAAAGGGAAAGAATCTAGTTCCACAAGACGGAATGCTTCAAAATTTGAGTTTGTGGGACCAACAAGGAAGTGTAGCACTTGTAAAGGTGTAGGTCATAACAGTCGAACATGTCAAGCCAAAACGAAGGGAAGAGAGGTTAATCCAAATCATGTGGTTAACCTAAATGATGATCAAAGCAACATAGATGTGGTCAACCTAAACACAGTGTCTACTACAATCGATTGCTTTTGGTTGAATTGATGACTTAAAGGCAAGTTTATTTCTTACTCTTAATTGACTGAATTTAAAATTATTATCTAAATTCATTGTAAATATTACATTTTCATGAGAAATTATTTAATTGTTTGAGTACTTCACTAAAATCTTTTCTATATATATGTAATTCTTGTTTGTGCAGATGATGATGGTAGGTATCTTATTATGCACTAGGACAACTGGACAAGTATATGTTTTATAAGGATGAATGTTTGACATCTTTTGAAGATATTATTAGGGTTTTTTGTCTTTTGTTTGTTTGTTTGTTTTTTTTTTTTTCCTGAGACTAGAAATTATCAACATTTGCAGACCATTTGAGGACTACATCTTTTAGCTTTGCAATTTCTTTTTTAAGTTGTGCTTTTGATTGTTTATAAGGATGTCAATCTAGTTTGGATGGAAGTGAATTAAACATGTTATAAAAGTCAGTCTTTTTTTGGTATGATTCGTTAAGAATAAGTGTTGAGGTATTGTTTTTTGTTTAATGGTGATTTTCCTACAAGAGTTTTTCAAGTACCATGTTAGAAGAGAATTAATTTACTAAGTGATATGATGTGTGACTAAAATGCACCATTTTATAATTATCATCATTATCTTCTACTAGTATAATAATACTATTTACTTTAAAAAAAATCTAAAAATAAAATATGTGAACCAAATTTATTTTGAGTGTGACCCACATCACGTTAAGTTTGAATATACATATTATACAATTTATGTTCAAAACATTTATTAAAATACTTTTTTGGTGTATAAATTTCCTTGCTAGTATTGTTAATCTCCTAACATTGAATTTTTTTTTTTAATTTTAAAATTGTGTTTGTCAATTTATATTTAGAAAGTTATTTACAAATAAAAAGTTCATACATATGAGAACAATGGTGAGTGTTTTAATTAAAAAGAAAATAACAACAACAAATCATTTCATTTTGTATAAAAATATATATATAAAGCTTATGTTTGTATATTATTACCATATATGTTTTTTATACGACGATATTTTTACCAAGGTTGGACACTTCAAAAAAATTGGATGAGTTTTGATTTTTTTTATTTTGAATGGTTATGTTGTTGTCACGACCTAAACCCGCCCCTATGGGTTTAGTACCGTAACCGGCCAGTAATCCGTGATTACTGAAGGCCTGCTTGACAGTCAAGACAGTAATACAGAGTACAGGGGCTAGCGGAAGCCAAAACAGTAAATAATAGGTGTCCAATGAGTTATGACATTCTGAATGCAAAAAGACTTTCCTGAACATATTCACATTCAAACCAACATAGTATATACATAACGGGTGCACATAACATCCAGGTTAGGGACCAAATCCCTACCACAACAGTACAGTGCAAGTCTTAACATTTATTACAGAACAAAGGCAAAAGGGGAAATCTAAAACACCCCAAACCAGCCTTGGCTTAAAACGACTTGGAACCTCGCAGTAAGGCACAACGGTTGGCTTGACAGAACGAGAGCTAACCCGATGCTCCTAGCTCCGGTCCGGTGCCTGGACACCTACATATATATATAAACAGTGAGCTAAAACCCAGTTAATAACAGTTGTATAAAAAGGTTAAGAATGAATGTCCTTTCAGTAATTAAACAGTCATATCAGTCGTTTAGAAACCATAGCGGTCATATGTGGTACATCCCATAGCAAAACAGTACAGTAGGTCTTAACAGACCGAACAGTCAGTTGATGGCCATCATAACAGTAACAGTGGTGGTTCCAAACTTGGGAACCGACAGAGATCTCTGTGACAGTAGTAGTAACAGTACAGTAACAGTAAGTTGCTAAGGATGCCACAAATATAGTTTACAAATAAGGCAAACATTCGTTCATTAAACAATAACGTTTCAGTAAACAGAACAGTTGATCATTCAGAAAATATTCATAATTGAACATATCTTTACAACATTGTTACTCACAGAGCACTGGGCTATAAACAGCTAATGAGTGTCCTCAGATGCCAACCCTACAGTTATAGAACGAACACACACTAAGTTATACACTTGGGTTTAATAACTTAACCCCTAACTTGACTCGGTGTGGTTCTACATCAATATCCTTATTAAGATGCCTTAAACATGGCCTAGGAATGCCTAGGATGGAAAGAGGATGCAAAGATGCACTTTAAAACACTTTTCAAAATTTTCAAAAAACAGGGGGTCCCGCTAGAGCGTTGCTTCCTACGCTCGAGCGGATATGCAGACAAAGGAGCTCCGCTCAAGCGTGACTTTCCCCGCTCAAGCGGACTGCAAACTCAGGCAAAAGTACTGGTTGTATGCAATTCACGCTCAATGGGCGCTCGACCTCCACTCGAGCGTGAGACACAAGTCCTCGCTCGAGCGTGCATTCCCTCGCTCAAGCGGACTGTAAACACATGAAAAGTACTGGATACACGCATTTCACGCTCGAGTGTTACTTTTCCCGCTCGAGCGGAATGCATGTACTCAGAGTGTACGCTCGAGCGTGAAGTCTTACGCTCGAGCGTGGGTCCAAAATCTGGAACTTCTAGATTGAACCTCCAAGCTCAAATTCAACATTTAAAGCATCAAATTCGATTCTTTTGGCCCAATTTTCTGGAAAGCACTTTGAAACTCATAATATGACATGTTTCAAAGATCAATTTGCAAAATCAAGGCCTAAAGGGAGTTCAATTAAACACAAATCCAAACAAAACTTCATGAACATAATGTATATGTAACATGCAAGTGTTCAATTGAAATCAAAGCTTCAAATACTTGATCAAATGAGTCAATTCATTCGAAAACATGATGAATTCATGGACCATAGCTAGAATATAGACATGCATGTGAGGATTTCCATGAAATCAACCTCAAAACTCAACAATGTGTACATACATGCATGATTTAGCTACTCAAATCAACTCTTTAAACCAATTCTTAACTTAGATCAGTAATGACTCATGAACCATGCAAAAACCAACTAGAATTCATAATCAATAAGGTAATTTCCTACCTTAGGTCTTCAATTTTAGGTATAGAAGCTCAAATATGCAATCAACCTTCAAATTTTCTAAGTCTCCAAGCCAAATTCTTGAAAAACTAAATTTCCTCTTACTCTTCCTCTCTTGCTCACGGTTTTGCCCTCAAGAAGATGAACAAATTGACATATAATCAAGTCTCAAGATGATTTATGAAAGTGGCCCACTAATGGCATTTTGGTAATTTACTTGAACTAATGTAATTTACATTATTTAATCCAATTTAGTCATTCCAAATCAAATTTAAGTTAAAACTACCATAAAATCACATAAATTCTAATTAACATAAAATACCAATCGATTTTTGATTCAGTCGCCAATAGGACCTTCAATTCGCAATTTAAAGATAAAACATGAACATATTATTTAATAGTCAAACAGATAGAAATGCATTTACAAATAATACACTCATGCAATCAGTTTAGGATTTCCTCCTAATCAGTTACTTATCATATTCAGTCACAGTTTAGCAGTAATCAGAGGTGAGGGTTGTCACAGTTGTCACGTCAAAATGACATGTGTTATAAGACTAAAAATAGAAGAGAAAAGAGAAACTCTTGTATTCAATATATTATGAATGAATAGGTATACACTCCTTTATATAGGAGAGAAGATAAGTATATATAGAGAATATGCTCTATAACAGATATATACAAATAAATTATCAGATATATAAAAATATATTTTAACACCTATCTTCAAGCTCAAGGTGGTAATGCAAATATTAAGTTGAGCTTGAAAAGTAAATCAGAAAATCGTCCTGGAGGATGAGCCTTAGTGAAGATGTCAGCTGTTTGACCGGCAGAGGTAACAAAGATAAAACAAACAGTGCCACTAGTAACGTGTTGCCAGATGAAGTGATAATCAATCTCAATATGTTTGGCACGATCATGGAAGATATCATTATGTGTAATTTGAATAGCACTCTGATTGTGACAATAGAGGTTAGAGGCAGCAAGATGGGGAATTTCCATATCAGTAAGAAGCCAACGAAGCCACACAAGCTCTTGAGTAGGATCCGCAAGAGCACGAAACTAAGCCTCAGTACTAGAATGAGCAACAGGAATTTGCTTCTTACTACGCCATGCAATGAGAGAATCACCCAAGAAGAAGGAGAACCCTATAGTAGAGTGGCGATCAGTAGGATCCCCTGCCCAATCGGCAACAGAAAAAGCATGTAACTGTAGAGAAGAGTGTGCTGAATAGTGAAAACCATGGAACATAGTGCCTTTTAGATAGTGCAAAATGTGAACTAGAGCATCATAGTGTGGAGAGCGAGGAACAACCATGAACTGACTGACAATGTAAACAATATAGGCAATGTCTGGACAAGTAACTGTGAAATAGACAAGACTGCCAACTAACTGACTATATAAAGTAGCATCAGATATTAGGTGACCATCCAGAGGTGTGAGATGAGTCTGAGGATCCACTGGAGTAGTAATAGTTTTGCTATCAGTAAAACCAGCATGATTCAAGAGATCAGAGATATACTTGGCCTGGGTGAGAAAGTAACCAGAAGGATCATGAGAAATTTCCAAGCCGAGGAAGTAGCTAAGTAAACCCAAATCTTTCATCTCAAATTGGTAACTGAGAAACTGTTTGAGATTAGAGATACCTACTATGTCATCGCCAGTGATGGTCATATCATCCACATAGAGAAGAGGAATAATAATACCATGCTCTGTCTGCCGTATAAATAAGGCAAAATCATAGGCACTAGAGGAGAAGCCAAAGGCATGAATGGTAGAACTAAACTTGGCAAACCAGGCACGAGGAGCTTGTTTCAACCCATACAAAGCACGACGAAGTTTGCAAACTTTGATGGATGGAACAGAGGAACCAGGCGGAGGTTGCATATAAACTTCCTCAGTGAGATCACCATTAAGAAAGGAGTTCTTGACATCCATCTAACAAAGACTCCAGTGGTGAGCACTAGCAACGGCTAATAAGCTGCGAACTGAGGTAAGACGAGCAACAGGAGCAAATGTTTCCTCATAATCAATCCCACACTCTTGAGTGAATCTTTGAGCAACAAGACGGGCTTTGTAACGCTCAACGGAACCATCAGAATAAGTTTTGATCTTATAAACCCATTTACAACTAACAACAGTCTTGCCAGGAGAAAGATCGACCACGTCCAAAGTATGAGTTTTATCCAAAGCCTGCAGTTCATTAGTCATAGCTTGCTGTTAAAGAGGGTTAGAACAAGCCTCATGATAGGAAGTAGGCTCATGAGAGGAAAAAGTAGTAAACAATATAATCATTGAGAATAACATGAAGTTATTTTACTCAAGTCGAATGACGATCTGCTAAAGGAGATGGTGGTAGGGATAGAGAAAGCTCTACTGGAGAGAATGAAGGAGGCTCCACAGGAGGTAATAGAGAAGGCATAGGACCATTGTTAGATACAGAAACCTCATGATTGACGGTAGGCATAGGCAGCTATGAAGGTGTAGGGCTGGAATCTGCATCAAATTCATGAGACATCAAGTCTATCGAAAGATCAATAAAAAATAGAGAATGGGTGGACTTTGGTAGGTGAAACTTAGACAAAGTAGAGAACATTTTGTGTTCCCAGAAAATCACTTGACGAGAAATACGAAGACGTTTAGAGACTGGATCCCAACAACGATACCCTTTATGTTCTATACCATACCCCAGAAAACAACAAAGACAAGAACTAGGTTCTAGTTTAATGTGTTCATGAGGTTAAGGGAAAACAAAACAAGCAGAGCCCAAAACTTTAAGAGTGGTGTATGTAGGAGGAGAACCATACAAACGTTCATAAGAAGAGAGGTTAGCTATAAGAGGAGTAGGCACATGATTTATGGTGTAGACAGGAGTGAGAGCAGCTTTTCCCCAGAACTTTTCTGGACAATAAGAGGAGATGAGAAGGGCCCGAGTAGTGTCTAGAATATGACGATGTTTTCTTTCAGCGCAACCATTTTGTTGGGACGTGCCTGCATAAGAACGATGAGTTTGGGTACCACGTGCCCAAAGAAAGGAAAGAAAATCAAAATCCAAGTATTCAATAGCGTTATTAGAACGAAAGATTTTAATAGTTTGAGAAAACTGAGTGTGGACCATGGCAGAGAAATCATAATAAATTTGTTTAAGTTCAGACCGATTTTTGAGAAGAAAAATTCAAGTACAACGAGAAAAATCATCAACAAAAATCACAAAATATTAAGACTCCCCATGGTCGAGATGGGGAAAGGTCCCCAGATATCTGAATACACAAGAGCAAACAGGGCAATAGAAAGAGAATTACTTTTATTAAAAGGTAATGTAGGTTGTTTAGCAATTTGATAATCAACATTTTCAAAACTAACACGACCTAATTGACCACTAGAAACCAAAATTTTTAAACAACTAAAAGAGACATGTCCTAAATGACAATGCCAAAGGTGAAAAGAAGACATAGAAGTAGAAGCAGCGGAAGAGGCAGCAGAAGTAGCAATGGATGATGTAGATAAAAGGAGAAGATGAAGAAGCTCGAACAGACATCCATGCCTACGGCCTATCCCAAGGATCTGTTTCATTTGAGGGTTCTGCACCAAACAACCATTAGCAGAAAAAGTGACAATGAGACCAAGTTCACACAATTGACCAATAGAGATAAGGTTTAATTTAAGAGCATGAATGTGATAAACATTAGAAAGAGATACAGTGGAAGTAGAAATTTGACCAATGTGACTAATAGACATATGAAAACCATCAGCATACGTATAGGGGGAACAAAAGAGGAGATGAGATAGAAGAAAATATAGTAGAATCAGAGGTCATATGATTACAACAGGCGGAATCAAAATACCATGAAGGATTACCTGATGTGACTAAAAGAGCAGGAGAATGAAGAGTACCGGATTTGGCAAGCACCTATTGGATAATGGACTCAACATCATCCGTAGAAAATGATAGAGTAACAGGATCAGTAGAGTGGTGAGTGCAAGAACTTTTTGGTGCAACAACAGTAGCAGCAAGACGAGAACCAGGAGCATATTTGGACTGATGCCTAGAACGTGAAGACCCTTTCTTAGATGAAAAAACAAGGGGAGCTCGAGGACAATTGCTTTGGAGATGACCTGGAGCAATCTTGTGGCAAGTCAAGCATTCACGAACTTGGCATTGAAGTAAAGAAAGATTGGCAGGTAGGCCACGATTGTGACAATAAATGCATGAGCTAGGAGGCTGTGAAGATGAAGAACCCCGTGATGATGGCGAAGCAAGAACAGAATCCAAGTTTGGAGTTTTGGGCATCCCAAAATGAGTTTCTTCAGACAAGAGTTCGGTAATGGCTTGCTCCAAAGTTGGTAAAGGCAAACGATGGAGCAAGGAAGCACGCACAGGTTCAAAGGTGCTATAAAGAGCCATAAGAAACTGCAATAGTCGCTGATGATTGCGATGAACAATAAATAACTGTGTATCCTCAGAATGTGTCCAAGTAGGTTTAAAAAGAGTCAACTTGTCCTAGACAGATGACTTCTGGGATTAAAAAATCATTGATAGACTAACCAGGCTCTTGGCGCATGTGATGAAGAGTTTGTAGGAGTTGATATCGGTGAGCTTGTCCAGTAGTCTGATAGCGGTCCTTCAAGAAATCCCAAATTGCCTTGGCAGGAGAGACAATGGAATCATTATCCTGAAAGCAGCCAAACTGAAGGTTAATGGAAAGAACAGAAGTAGCCCTGAACCCTGAGAGAATCTGGTAGTTTTTCCATTCCCATTCATCAAGACGCTCATTGAAAGCAGAGGTAGTTTATTTATTTTCCTGGATGGGTTTAGAAAGAGTACTAGTGATAATAGGCCAAAGCCGCTTCCCTTTGATGAATTCAGAAAGAGCTTGGGCCTAGAGAACATAGTTGGACCCATCAAGTGTAACAGAGATGGAATGGATTGTTACGACCCAAACCCGATACCCAGAGGTTCGGCGTCGCGACAAGATAATAACTGAAGTCATAATAAATTAATAATGCAGCGGAGTAAAATAAAAGGGTACCAAAATCTTTATTTAAGTATAACAAAAACGTATATATTGGAGCTTTTATTCGATTGCAATACCAGAGTTGTACTATGACTACAAAATGCCTTGTGCCTACCCCATGTACTGGTCTTGACACGCTACCTGAAAGTGGTTAACAGCTATAAGCATATGGTAGAGTGAGAAATATTATACAGTGAGCATGAGGGTACAAAAATTACTATGGATAATTATTTGGCTAAACAGAGATTAGTTTGGTAACTGAAATACATAACTAATTTTAAATATCAGAAGCAGAATGCGAAAATTATATGAGCTAATAATCATAATCACGGTACCGAACAAAATAGAACAGAGGTCACCAAAGTGACAATCAGAATAGAGGTCAATGGATTCATGACAAATAGAGGATCACAAAATAGCCAAACAGAGGCCAATGGTTATTTAAGTCCCCTAAGGTATGAAACTCCCGTGGTGGTATTTATAGAAAATAATTGCTTACAAAATCATTATCAAATAATTTCTAAAATTTAAACAAACATATTCATGGGTTTCAATATAAGCAAATAGAGTTCAGAAAATAATTAACGTAATTGAAATATAAATATAAGTTATAAAACATAACTTGTATAAAATAAATTATGGTAATTTAAAACATACGTAAAATATATTATGGTGACTCAAGGTATAATATAACTCACCTTAATGTTAATTCTTACTATTTCTCTACTATTTACGCTGGCTTCTCGATACTATTTTCTTCCTCTTTTCTGTCTCTCTTTTTTTTCTTTGGTTTCGTGGCTTCATATTCATCATTTTATACTAGAGCTTACAGTGGTGACTCACCCCATAATTAATCACTCTAATTGCTGATTCATGCCACTTATTTCATAGGCTTAACAGATGGCTTATCTCATATGGGTCCAACTCATGGCACACCTTTCACTATATTACCATTTGGCCCAACTATTCTCATAATCTCATAGTTGTATTCATTTGGCCTCAAATAATATATTAATCACATATTTGATAACCCAATGTCAAATTAGATTACATTTAGCACATATAGCTATGTAATTGAATATATTATTTTACATATTTATTTATTTTTATATATATATATATATATTTTGTTTTCTTTTTATAACTTAATCAACTTCAATTCGGACCCAATTAATAAAATTTCAACTTTACTAAACTGAATCGGATATTTAATTAAACTCTCATATAGTTCGATACTCGAAATTAAAATAATTCAATTCGATAATTTCACTTTTATTGAGAATTCTACAATTAAATCAGAATTAGAATTAATTAAATGTAAAATATTATATGTGGCGGGGTCATCATATGGATGTTGTCAGAACGATCTATGATGCTCAAACTAGGCAAAAAAACAAGAAAGTGTTTTGTAGAGGCTAATTTTGCTAGAACAGAACACACTAGCAGATTCAGGAGGCCGAAAACAGTTGGGACATAGTCTGAACGGGCCAAAAACATGACTAGAAAGGCACTGAAATGGCTAGTCAAAGTGGTTTGACCAATTTGGTCAACTAGGGCTAATGCCAAAACAAGGAGGACGATGTCACCACGCGCGGCACACGATAGCAAGAGGAGCAACAGCGGCATACGGAACCAGCAAGAAGGATGACGTCAGCAAGCGCGGCGCACGTTAGCAGAGATGCGTGGCGCACAATAGCAAGAGGAGCAGCTGTGGTGTATGAAACCAGAGTTGACGTCAGAAACACGCGGCTCACGTTAGCAGATGAGGCCACGGTGCACGATAATGCGAGACGAACATGAGCCGCGTAGGGCAAGTAGGAAAATGGCACAACGCGTGTCCAATATTCTGGCAGCACATGAAGGCGCGTAGAATGTCGTATGGAGATGATTCTGGTGGCGTTGGCTTCGTCTTGAAGAGATGAA